AGGGAATTGGTACCTTGAAGAAAAGGTGTATCGAGATATGGGAGAGGAACATAGAGAATAGGTGTTTAATAGGATAGGTGTTTAAAACTATGAAATTTTACCTGATTTGGTGAAAAATCCTCTCCGTCTCTTGGTCCTATGTCTGCTGGACTGGCTCTGTGAGTGGCTTTAAGTAACTTCTACATAAACGCATTGAGTTCAGGCCTGTGGCTGACTCCAGAGATAACAGCCGTGAGTCAGGCATGCTCCAGTGCTCTGCAGTCTACCAGAAGAGATGATGGGAAAGCCTGTGGTGGGCGGGCCCATGCATGTGGGCCGGGGTTAACTTTTCGGATAAACAGAAGGTATTTGGAAATACTTTTGATGAAGTCCTAGAACACAGCTGGCTGCCCCAAGCTATAATAAAATTACAATCTCATCCTTTGTTCCCAAACTATGCTATCAGATATTGGGGAGATAGATTTTGGCCATGTAGGCACTTTTTTTTTTTTCCTGTGATTTTGAGCATTTGGACAATTTGAGGGTTGGCCAAGGCAGTTTCTGTTAGAAAGAGGACGGATGAGGAGGGCTGGCTTGATGCCAATATAGCTGTTTGGCCAGTGATAGTAATACCACAGCAGTTTGCCTTGCTCTTTGACCTTATTCTAGAAATATTTTCTTGTTCAAAGCTTTCCATGGCAAGAGGGCAAAGAAAACATAACATGAGAGTGTCTTGGATTGTGCTTCACAGAAATGTCTCTTCCAGGGAAAGACGTTATGTGTGGTGAAACTGGACTGTCCTCTGGCCATTTCTCTTCCCCCACACTGTTTGGTTGAGATGGATAATTGGAGGATAGTTTTGAAGTATCTCCTTGACAGATCTGCTTCAGTTAAGCGCTTCTTAAATTTCTCATGTAAGCCCAGCAAGACTGGTACGTTGTTCCTAGGTGAGACTACCAGACTTCAATACATGACCGAGTTCTCAGGGCTAGTCAAAGTGGAGCCAGAACTTGCCCCCAGAGGTGGGACCCCAGAGCCTGCCCCCTTAGCGAAGCTGGCTCTTCATGGAAGAACCTGGCATGGGGATCTCTGGAAGAGAGCTAGAACATCCATGTGGATTTTACTTCCCTTTGCTTAAAGGTGGTCCTCTTGATTGATGATACACACTAGTATTTTAAAATAGCTTCAGATAAAGAAAGGAGGAATCAGACCTAGAGCTTCCTGGTTAGAAATATACCAGAAGCTATTAGGATAAGGTAGTTACAGATGGATGTGTTCGCTGATGGGCTCACTTGAGAGTTTGTGCCTCTTTTCTTCCTGACCTCTGGCAGAAGGTTCCGAGGTCTGTGATGGGAATATGTTTTCTGGCCCTTTGTCAGGTTGTGAAGGAATTACCGAAGCTATTTCATTAACAGTGGAAGATTATATCTATGTTATACTTGTGATTTTTTTGAATATTAAATGCAATGTTCAAAAATTAATGTATGAGAAGGCTGGCAACATATACGATGGAGTAATTTTTTGAAACTATTAATGTTTCATCTCTGTCCCTTTTTATGGTGAATTTGGGTTTCAAGGAAGGTTTAGATTCTTTGGCTTTTGTCTTTCCAAGCTCTGCTGGGAAGCTTTTCATTGCAGAGACTAGCACTTCATCTTTGTACTTAGCACTCTGAAGTTGGTCTTTTTGTTTTTGAACCTCTGCCTTTTTTTGACTTATTGATGTACAATTGTAAAGAATTCCCTTTTGTTGCAATTTTAAAGATAGTATTTTAAGAAAGAAGCCCCATTATGGGTATCAATACAATTTGAGTCAATTGGATATGTTTTAAGCAAGCTAGTGCAATTTAACTGTTGTTTGAGATCGTGAATATTTATTAGGAATCTCCTGAGCTTTTATCATTTTAGGCTTTCTCTTGCTAACTTACATTTCTGTAAGCTAAATAAATATATTCAGTCAATATTTAAGTGCATCTGTATACCATGCACTGTGCTAGGCATTGTTAATAAAATATTATGTGGTTGCCAGGTGGTAGACCTGTCTTAAGACACCGGGGATATGGCAATAAACAAAACCACAAAAATCCTTTTGGATTCTGGTGGAGGAGAGTCATGATGAATACATGAAGTAGACGGTTAGAAGTACAAAAATAAAGCAGAGATGAGAGATAGGGAGTGTCAGCCAGGCTGCTTGCAATTTTAAATATTTGGGTCCAGCATGGCTTCACAAGGAAGCATTTGTGTGCAGCGTGGTGAATAAGTGGGCCCTACCGTCACATCGCTTCTAGTCTAGCGATGACTGCTTCTTGATGAGTACTTACCATGAGGCTAGGGATTTTGCTAAGTGCCTGTGGACATTTTCTCCTAATCTGCTAAACTGGGGAGCATTGTCCCCAGTTTCATCAGAAGGAAACGGAAGTTTTTGAGAGTCAAACTGCTCGGATGAGCATAGTTAGCAGGATCCAGATCTGACCTGAAGCACATGCTCTTAAACATGGCCTTCTAGCTTGTTCACTCTTGAAATGTTTATGGAGGAGTTAGCCAACGTTGTAGATTGGGCTGCCTGATTTTTGGTTCTGTTGTGTTGGGCAGTAACTTGGTTGGCTCATGGAAAGTCGGTGTTAGCATGAGCTTCTCCTCAAGCCTGTTCTATTTAAAAGGCTTTGGGTTGGGCCCAGTGGCCACAGAAGGCAAAGAAGCCACACGGTTACTGACTTCATCCAGTGAGATGTATTTGTTATGTGTCAGAGAGTGGCCTCTATTGACTCTAGCAAATCATTTACTACTTGAATTCCTGGCACTGCATTTCAGTGATAGGATACTAATTTGGCTGGCCTATGTATCACTGGGTTCAAGAACACATCATAAATGCTCATACTTAGAAGGGAACGTAAAGTGCGTGAAAGGTTACAGTGCCAAAGTTACTGCTTATTGTGTTTATTACAGAATAGACTGTACCTTGTATTTATAGTGATTGCTTTATCGTAATAAAAAGTAAATGGCAAAGGAGTGTGTTGGAATGTGGATGTGGAAAGGAGGTCAGGGGTTCAAGAGCACTCTTGTTCTTTTGCCCTCAGTGTGCTTACGATAACATTCCACTCAAATCATCCCACTTTCAAGTGGAATGGCAATTTTCAGCAGTCTGTCCTTTGCATTGAGTATTAATGGTTCTTTTGTGCTTTGGCTAATTTAATTTCTGTGGTGTGTGTGTTGATCATTCTTCTAAAAAGAAGCTATTTTACAACCCTGTGTGTTATTTTTTATGGTCAGTTTTTAGTAATCACCCTCCATTAACTACTTCCAGAATTAAATGTTGATTTTTATAAGGTGATTTTCTTTTACTTAGGAGATAAGCTATGATTTGAGCACTTAGGCTGTACAGTTTATTCTTTTAATTTACTTTTTTGAAGTATAATATACGTATATAAAAGGGTATACATTATGTGTACAATTCAAAGACTTCAGAGACAGAACACACTTGGATAGCCAGCTTCCAGATCAAAATAAAGAGAAATATCAGTGTCCCCTCCTTTTTCTAATCCTTCCACCATCCTTCCCCACAAGGGTAACCATTCTTTTAGCATCATATCTTTGTTTTTGTACTTCCTATGAATGAAAATGACAATCTGTACTGCTTGTGTTTGACTGCTTTTGCTTCTTGTTGCTAGACTGAGTCATATGGTTACATGCAGTTGTGGATTGCTCATTCTTGTGGCCATATAATATTTCATTGTCGGTATTCCGTAATTTATCCATTCTGTTGTTAAAAGACATATGTGCAGCCGCCAGATTATTCTATTATGAAAGGTGCTTCCATAATCCTTCTCATATATGACTTTTGGTGAATATACGTAAGCATTTCTATTGGGTATATACCTGGGTTTGGAATTCCTGGGTTCTAGAATACACATATACTCAGCTTTTATAGTTCTTACCAAATGGATTAAAAGTTAAAGTCGTTGCACCAAATTACATTTCCACAGTAGTGTGAGAACTTGTGGATTTATTTTTGTCCTCTTTTGGGGTAGGTAGGAGGTACATGTTGTTCTAAGGTCCATTTCCCTTCATGCTTGTTTTATAGAAAGGAATGGCCATAGCTGTCCCACTGATTCTTTGAAAGTTAAGTTAAATGTTTGTGTGCTCATTCTCTCCCCTTTTTCCTTTCTGTATACAGGTCTTATATGTTAGATATGTATTTTATGTCTCTCCTATGTACACATGACATATATATACATTTTATCTGGAAAATATACCACCTACAGACTTTTAAGCTAGAAAGCCACCTTAGAGGTCACCTGGTTCTGGTTTCTCCAGTCTCTGAATTAGCAACGATCTTGCTTCAGTGTGTCTGATGACAGGAAGCACATGAGTTTAGGGTGACCCCTTGTTAAATAACTGATGTTGCTTCTTCAACACGGTGGTGACATCTGCCTCCTTTTAACTTCTCCCACAAATATCATGCCCTTTCACAGGTAAGGGGGGAAAACTCATGATTCTTGTGACAGAGTGAAATCTCTTCAGGCAGAGATTCGTGGCCATTTTTAAAACTGTAGTTCTCAATATCTGCAGGACCTTGATCTCTGAGCGTTTTGCTCGGAGGAACTTGGGTGAAAAACCCATGGATGATGGAAAAGAAAACTCCATGCAAAACTTCCCCCTGCTCTTTAAGGTTTTTGTTTTTTCTTGATTTTTGTGCCATGAAGCACACTGACCTGCCCCACTTTTGAGTGGGTTTAAACACTTTAAAATGAAAATACAAAAAATGCAAATAGTGAATTAAAAAAAATCAGACTGTAATAAAAAAATGAGAAAAAGAGACTTGCTTTTTATAGAAAATGGACCATTCTATTTCATGAAATCATTGAATATGGAAAAATTCTGATGGATAATATGCAGTCTGAGGTTTTTGAATGTCCAGGTGGTATTAATATTCATAGAACGTTAGAATAGAAATGAGATTTTTCTACTTAATAATTTAAGGCTCATAGATATTACTTAATAGGCATTTTCTTTTTTCTTTACAGGCAAGAAGAGACTGATAGGAGAGTGAAAAATGTAAGCTATATTTAAGGGAACATTATTAATGGGTTTTTACTTACATGTTCTGTAATAAGGCAGTGGGATCTAAAAATACCTGATATACTGTGAATCCTTTTTCTAATGGAATTATTGTCAGTAGCCAACCATTCAGGGGCTCAAAGTATGTTTAAATAAGGTTAAACTATATATTCTCTGATGTCAGGGTATAAGAAGGGAGGTGAAATCTGGGGGGGGGGGCTTCTTATACGTAAGGTGGGAAAGGCAAGTGAACGTGCTTCAAGTCCTTTAGAAGAGTACATCAAACCACCAGATCAGACTTTAAAGAAAAACACTGAATGTTTAAGAACGCTGGGTAATTGCTCAATGCAGACTTACATGCCTGACATTCTGCACGTTAGAAGAATTTCTAAAAGTGGGACAGCTTTATTTGAAAGAAAAATACAAGAGAACCCTATTAACGAAGCTGAGAATTACTGATTTTAAGGGTTCAGTCTGTAAGTTTGTTGGAAAAATTGATTGCTTTAAAAGTTTAATTTGCTTTCTTCATAAATGTTTTCCTTTACATGTACCAGCAGAGTATCCAAATCCCTGTTGGGATCTGAGCTTTTGGTGTGAGAATGTGCTCAGAGACAGAAATCTAAGAATAATTAACATTTTTAATGACCCATCTCCTTCACATAATGTAAAAGAAACTCCACTTTTCAGCTTAGATAGATATGTTCTCTTCTGTCTAGAGTGCTCACCTGCATTCGGGCTTGCAGTTAGTTACTAAATAGACTGATGTTGTTTTTGTGGATTTTTTCAAGGTTTTGATAACACTGTACTGGTTGGGAAGAAAAGCACAAAGTAACCCATACTATAATGGACCCTATCTTAATTTGAAAGCCTTTGAGAATCTTTTAGGACAAGCTCTGACTAAGGTAAGGAAACCACATCTGGATGAGATGACTACTGTTCCTAACACTACCACTTTCTCCTCCTTTTCCTCACCTCCCTGTATTCCTTTCCTTCCACTTCTCCTCTTCCTTCTTCCCCTCTTCCAACAAATATGGCAGTTCCTATTATCTTTGCTTCACTCTAGATTGTGCTGGGTAGAAGGGGTTGTTATTTATTTGCTGGCTTTATATGCCCCCAACCAAGGAGTGAGTGAGTCTAGGTATTTATTTCTTAATTTTAAGTAATTCAGTGACCTACTCATTTGCTTCCTTTCTAAGGCACTTGATATAACTTAACTCTTTCTATAGTAGAAACTCAACCTGTAGTAGAGAGTGCTTTGGACTATTACTGTGTGTGGAAGTTACTCAGTTTCTCTGTCTTAATATCCTGTCATGGGTCGTTATCTCTCTAATGCCCATACTCCAATTTCCCCATGATTCTGCCATATTGCTTCTACTTCCTAGAGTGCAGTAAATGCTGTTACATGAAACGTGCTAAGAGGTTTAAATTAGAATCTTTTGTTTCAGACACATTTCTAGTCCTTTATATCTTGGAGTCTATGTTGCAGCTTTTGAATGCTTAAGGATTGTTTGAGGAGAGTCCAGTGCCAGGGCTGACCATAGTTGTATCAGATTTTCATTTATAAGATCCAAATGGGAAAATTAACTTTTTTTAGGGGGATATTTACCCAGGGGAATTTGCAGTGCTCAGAAGAAAATAGGTAGCTAAAATAATATGCTATCATCTAATTAATTGTAGTTGCTCCATGGATTTTTATGATGATTAAATGACACTGAGAAGGTATTTAACATTAGTCTCTGGCACATTGTAAGGATGTAATAAATGTTAGTTACCATGATTGGAAGATAGAAATTTTAGGTTAGGATGAAAATGAGCACCTTGCCTCACATCTGCTCTGATCTTCAAATACTTTTGCCTGAGCCCAGCCACACACATCGTAAAAAGATGAGATTATAGAGCTTAGAAGGTTAAGGTATTCCTTCTTGATTTTTATTGTTTTTGAATTGTAGAGAGTTGATGGTACTTCACTCAAATTTCTTGAAAGAGTTAATTCAGGTTATAGAGTTATCCCGCACAAGCGTTGTTCTAGATGTTGGGAGAACACTCACAAAAGGCCCATCCTCCTAGAGCACCACTGTCTGATGGAGACCGATGAACAGATTGGTCACTGCAGTGGGAGAGGATAAGGCTGTGACAGATGAATGGGCAGGTGGCTTGGGACATGAGCAGAACCTCGCCTTACAGTTATGTCAGCTAAGAAAACTTCTAGTTAAAAATAATATGGGACTTTGGCTCCTGTATTAGTGCTCTCTTACAGCTTTTGGTTCTTTTTATGGCAGTCTGACTCAAGTTGAATAATCCTAGTACAGTGTTTGTGCTGGGGAATGCTTTATTCAAAGCTGTTTCCTGTCCTCAGTGTCAAAAGCAGAGTAGGTAAAACATTTTGATAGATAAAACTACAGCTGTTTCCATTCCATTATTATGGAATGGGGATGGCTGTAAAAAGGGTGTAAATGTGTATGATTACTGTTTTGCATCTGTTCTATTAACAGTCACTGTGTTCAAGTGTCTCACACTGATATAGATAATGCTTAATGGCCAATCCAAAGTGTCGATTAAAAAACACACTTGGTAAGCTGTTGTACCTGAGTCCTCATATGAACTGGAGGTGACTCATTTTAGGTGACCAGTCAGAGGGATCCTCATAAAAACCAGGTACCAGGGCCAGACTCTTTTATCACTGGAGTGGCCCAACATCAATAACTTGAACATTTTATGAGGTCAAAAATCATCTCACTCTGTGTCAAGGACTCTGAGCTTCAACAAGTACGTATCTAAGAAAACTGATGGATCTAAAGGTTTACTTAAAATTTCTAAAATCTTTTTCTATTTTGAGAAGTATTTTGGCAGTATCAGCACTAGGCCCAGCTTCCCCATCTCCTTGGAAACGAGGTACAAGGTGTAGATGCTTACGTTTTCACAGCAGGATGTCAACTCTAACACCGGGGTGTCTGGCATCTGATGTATATGAAATCTCACATAAATCCACTAGATCTTATGGGTGCTTCATATATTGGTCAGAGGGTTGAACCAAGAATCGACAGATCCAGTCTCAGCCAAAAGCATGCCCAGGACAGTTGTTAATTTGCTTTTTGCACATTCTTTTTTCAACTTTATCCATATGTTGAAAATGTTCATAATTGAAAATTGAAAGAATCATACAACAAATACCCAGATATGTGCCACCTGACTCAATTATTAAAATCTTCCCATACTGGCTTTACATGTCTATCCATTCATCTGTTTTTACTTAATCATTTCAAGGTAAATTACAGATCTCTCACCTCTAAAAGCTCAGCATGCATCTCTTAGGGGTAAAAATATTCTTCCATATAGCTACAATGTCTATTATACTGAAGGAAATTAATAAATGTTCTCTACCCCCAAATAACAAGTCCGTATTCAAAATTTCCCAGCTGTCTCCCAACTTTCTTTCATGGCTTATTTCATCTGAATTCTGATTTAATCGAGATTCACATATTACATCTGGGTGTTAGGAGTTCCTACATTCTTCAAACTGTCTCTGTAGTTTGCTCATCTGCAGCTAGAATTTCTGGTTTGTACACTAATGACAAAATCACCTTCACTGTAGGAAAAAGTCACTAGGTATTCTTTGATTACTATATATTGGGACTATGCTAAGGACTTTATAATTTTATTGATACTCTCATTGTAAAAAGTCCAGTTTTATTTTGCTATTAACATTTTCATAGAGAAATGTTATTCAAAATAATGCTTATATATATACATATATATGTATATCTATCTATCTATCTATATTTTTTAAGATTTTACTTTTAAATAATCTCTGCACCCAACATGGGGCTCGAACTCACAACCCTAAAATCAAGAGTCACATACTCTGTTGACTGAGCCAGCCAGGCACCCCCAAAATTATGCTTTTAAATTAAGTTCTATATAATTTACAAACCTATGGCTAATCACGTTTGTCATCTGTTTATGTATCTCTTACATGAGCCAAACAAATACTTATTTAGGTTCAGGGAAATTAAATTTTGAATGCCCACGAGCAAGTCTGCTTTTCTTGGCAGATCTAGGTTTTTCATAATCAATGAAAATGAGTGAATTCTGTGGTGTATACCTGCTGCCCTTGCCCTTCTTTCTGTTTTTAAAAGTTTTTTGTTAAGAATCCATAACACTTACAGTGACTTTATTATAAACCCTCCAAATATTTCCTGGAGGTAGGCTGACTATAATCTTATTAACTTATCTCCTTTTGGATATCGAAATTAAGGTTGGCTTTTTGCTTTGACTCCTTTCATGTTTATTGCCAGATAACTGTAAGTAATCATTGATTTTAGCACTTGAATGTATTATTAGCTTTTCTTCTATTAAAATGTTCCCCCATTATTTTTAAATAAACTGTATACTCTTTTATTAAATAATATTGAATACCTCGTTTTTTAAAAAATACCTCCTTATTGTTACATAGGTGCCAAGTATTGTGGGAAAACATTTACAGATTTATACCCTGATTTTTGCCAGATTCTCTTTTTACGTTACACAGAGAAATCTCATTGCCTCGCCTATCACATATAGCACAACTTGAGCTCTGTGTTAAACAAGTAATGACTGATTATATTTTTGGAAGTTTATGGTAACTTCTTAAAAACTTTTCCTTTAGGCTCTTGAAGACTCCAGCTGTCTGAAAAGGAGTGGCAGGGACAGTGGTTACGGTGATCTCTGGTGTACTGAACGTGGAGAATTTCCTACTTCTTCGGGCAACCACAAGCGAGAAGATTCCTTCGAAAGCTTGGACTCTTTGGGGTCTAGGTCATTCACAAGCTGCTGCTGCGATAATATTTTGAGAGGCGGACGTGAGGGTGAGTTGCATTTTTGACTGTCAGTTTATTTTTTATTTATTTGTATGTTAAGAGAAAGTTGGGAATGGTAGAGAGGAGAAAAATGGAGCAAAAACTATTGGGGCAAAAATTTTACAAAGATGTGGATTTTTCATAGAGACTAGAATATTGGGGGCTTCTTTTTCCTTTCTCTTTTTCTTTTCCTTTTTCTTTCTCATTCCTTCCTCACTGTATCACCACTAGAATGGTAATAGTTTCACTTTTTTTTTTTTATCCTTCCATGTTTAGAGGAGAGCGGGGAGACCATTAACTGTGACCTGTTCAATCAGTGATAATCTATCCTAATTCTCTTCTCTCCAGATTCAAGTTTAATAATCTGTGCTCTGAGGCCTATTCACTGATGTATCTACACATAAAAAAAGAAAGATTCTATAAAAGTCTGTTCTAGTTCCTGAATAATCTTCTCCCCAAAAGATAAAAAATTTCTCTTAAGGAAAAGCAAGAAAAATATTTCTATAATTCTCTCCCCAAAAATGATTGATACCTATCATGATAGAATATTAGGCTAAACTTTGATAATTCAAATAGCCATACCAGCATGGTGTTAGAAAACCTCTTTTGCTTCTATTAGTCCAGAGCAAATCCAGGACAGAGTGAGGAAAGAACAGGTAAATGAAAGTTACCCTGTTGTGAGAGGACCCTTCTTTCAAAATCCTAATATTATGGTCAAATCGGTTATTTAAATGCATGTCTTCTTCCAATGGCTATTGGGTGATGTCAGAAATTTCTGACTATATACTTCTAACAATTCAAATTTGGATAGACTGAAACCACCAGTAAATTTCTGTGCTTCTACCATCAACATGAAAACGTTGAGAGTTCTGGTCATGAATTTGTGCTAGATTGTTAGGGATTTTACTTTGCTGGTTATATGGATAATTACTTTTAAATTTTTACTAGTTTTTCTTAAGGTTCTTATTATAAAACGTTTAAAACCTCAGCAAAATTGAAAGAAATTTACAGTGAAGACCCATGTTCCCACCACCTAGTTCTACCATGACGTTGTACTGTGCTTGCTTTATGACATATTTACCCCTTTCTCTATACATTAATTTTACATCTTGTTTTTCCGAGGTATCTCAGAGTACATTACACTTGTCCTAAATACTCAGCATACGGTGATCAACAGTCTTGATTGTTGTCCTGATGCAAATTTACATAAAAGCAATGTACAATGGATTTGGTTTTGAGAAAGAAAGTTAATCAACAAATTAAGTATAACCAACCCCCAAATTCTTAGGTTTTTGAGTAGTAGTGACATTTGAAATAAAAAAGAAAAGTGAATAGCTATCTAAGAGTTAACCTTTTATATTTACTGCTGCATTTGTTGGTTGTCTGCTCTCGAGTGTGACATTTTCATAGCCCAGATGACCAGTACAGATTCAAGGAAATAAATCTGAGTTTATAATTCATCTGAGTGATTAAAGCTGTAAAAGCAGAGGCTGAAATTCTCAATGCACTATATTGGTTTGTCCTGACTGGATAACCTAAGACATGCAATGTTTAAATTTATATCCAGCCAACAGAGAATAACAGGGACAAAGACTGAAGGCTTGTGGAAATAGGCAGACTTCCGGCGCTTCCCGTATGGTGGCCCGTGGTGTGAAATGAAAGTCCTCTCCTTAGATACTTGCTGGAGTGGATGCCTGGTACATGTGACAGAAAGCAGAAGGCCACTGTCACATATCTGCTTCCCGATAGTGGGGAAGGAGCTGCAGAGCTTGTTTGAAGAGGGCGGAAGTGAAGACTTAGTCCTTACGACTGAGGAAGAGAAGAAAAGCCCACGGGCTGTCCAGATGATCAAACTTTTGTAATCAGTGTGATGAAATTCTGCTACCTACTGGGTTGTAATTCCAAACTGATCACCACCGTTAGGATAATATTTTTAGGTTAACAGCATTGCAAAGTCAAGTTCCTTGGTTTTATATAAAACCCCTGACCCTATCAAGAGTATCTGCCTACTCTGTAGAGAACTCCACTGGACTCAAAAATAAAAATAATTTAAGTTTAAAAAATTCCAACGTAGAACAATCTCCCTGTGTGTTTAAAATTTCACAGGTACACATTTTGGCAAGAATCTTTAAGACCTTTCTTATTTGCAAAAAAATGTCGTATTTAAGAGGTGGTAAAAATGAAGCACCAGATTATTGACTATTAACCCTCCTGGTCATAGCGGCCACTTCCTCCCTTTCTGCCTTTTCTCCCTTATCCTGTTCCAGTCGCCTGGTCTCACAGGGGTGTGTTCAAACGCTTCCTGTAGGCTGTTCTCAGTGTTACTGACTGTGGATTTCTGGCGAGCAGGAGGGAGGAGACCAGACCGCCTCCAGTGCAGTTTAACCCTACAGGTGTTCTGGGTGCCGAAGGCTGCCGCTCAGGTCCTCAGGTACAGAGCACGGCCATGCTCCCAGAGAGTGCAGGTGGGAAGCAAGCAACACTTGCAAACTTTCTTTACAGATACACAGAGGCAGGAAGAAAAGAAGGTCAGAGAAGGGAGACAACTCAGCTTGGATCTGTAGTAGTATTTTGTAGTCTCTTTTCTTCCTGTGTCTTTAAAAAGAGCAGACTTATTATTTTATGAAAACAGACCAGTATTTGTTTTTTTTTTTAAATGTTTTATTTATTCATGAGAGTCAGAGAGAGAGAGAGAGAGGCAGAGGCAGAGGGAGAAGCAGGCTCCCCACCTAGCAGGGAGCCCGATGCGGGGCTCGATCCAGGACCCTGGGATCATGACCTGAGCCAAAGGCAGACACTTAACCATCTGAGCCACCCAGGCGCCCCAACAGATCAGTATTTGTATCTATCTGACCTTGAGGTGTATCAAAGTGCATTCTTTTGAATTTGTATTTGAATGATTTGGGATCAAACACAAGGTTCCCAGTATTTCCACGGCCACCCTCAGAAAAAGCCTTGAGTTGTGTGTGTTCATTTAGGAATGAGAGTTGATATTCCTTTGGACCAAATGATTTCTGAAGTCCCAACCTCCTCTCTGATGTGTGACTCTTGCTTGTAGGGCTCTCCCAAGGATCTGGCCAACCCGTTTGTGATATTGTGCTTTCTGCTACTCTTTCCATGTTCTCCCTTATCTCTTGCCTCACAGAAATTTGAGACAACGGCGTGCTTTATTTTAAATTACAGACTTTCCCTTGAGTGACTCTTTGATTGCTCACTCTTTTTGGTGTCTTTGACTCGATCGCTGCATTTTACTCATATGTGTTCCATCAGTGCATTTTATGTAAAGTCACAGGGGCAGGAAAGATTGGGAAGAAAAGGAATTCAGTGGTTAATGTGGACTTTATTTGCTTAGAATGTACAACAGTAAAAGAATGTAGCGCATGCGCCTCCAGTATGCAAAGCAAGTTCCTCCTAATGGATCTTATCACAACTTCATGACAAATTTCTAAAAATATTCCCCAGAGTTAGCAGAAGAGCCCTGGGTTTCCAAGGGAAAGACAAAGCAGGCATGCTGTGTGGGTTCAGTTAGGCAAATGATCTGGAGAGTCAAGCAAATTCTCTTGCTTTTTTTATAGGTTGTGAAAGTGACACAGATTCTGAATTTACATCCAAAATGCAGGATTATAATAAAGATGATATGTCCTATCGAAGGATTTCGGCTATTGAACCAAAATCTGCTTTACCGTTCAATCGTTTTTTGCCCAATAAAAGTAGACAGCCATCCTATGTGCCGGCTCCATTGCGGAAGAAAAAGCCTGACAAAAATGAGGATAACAGAAGAAGTTGGGCCAGCCCGGTCTATCCAGAAGCAGATGGAACATTTCCAAGGTACTGGGATGCGAGCTGATGATGAGTTTTAAAATTCAGTATGCTTTGTGAATTTGCTGGGATTTTAAATATGGGAAAAGGAATGGTTCTTAAAATGTATTTCATAGATAATAAATTTCACTAATGAAAATATATATATATTTTTTTACCTATATCTTTAGTCATGCATATCCTGACGATATTTCTTCCATTTTAGAGGTCAGCCTAGGATATGCAGGTTCTTTTTTTAGATGCATGCCTTTTGCCTATTGACATCTTTCAGCTTATTGGATGACTTCTGTGGTTCATTGTGGAGCTGTTATTTTCTTCCATTTTTTTTCCCCCTGTCTTGAGTGATCTCAGTGGACACACAGAGAATCCTATAATTTCACATCAAATTAGCAGAGCAGAGTGGGATTTGTCAAATTCAGCTTGCTGTCAGGAGGTGTATGGTTCTGAAAGTGGTTCGGACTCCGAGGATGAACGAAGGTTGCCTGATATAGTTTTGGATGACTTAGCCAACCGTAGATTCCAAGTGAAAAAGAGGCCCGAGTGTTTCATCTCGAAAACCACCTCTCGTAGCTCTTGCTCACAAAGGTTTCCTCCTGCTGACCCATTAGCCACTGGGCTGTATGAATTGACGAGGTCAGAAAAATTCTCCTAGATCTGAATGTCTGTTGATTTTAATACTTAACACCCCAGATTGTTTGCAGTTTGTCTCTTTTTAACACATCTTATAATTACCTTTGGCCCTTGTGTATCAAGCTATTCTCTAATTAAAATGAGATGCTGTTATAATGCCTTAACTTTGTTCTAGGAACTATAATGATGAGAGTGGGAACTAATTTGTCTCATCCAGTGGTATAAACTCTGTGAGCCAGAGAGCATGCCTTTTTGTTCTGTGTCACAAATTGTCATTCAGTATCTTAACCGGTTGGATGTTTTGAACAGTAACGAGAGGAGGACTTGGGGCACAAATGTGGAGAACTGGCCAAGAGTACAAGAAACTTCAAACTCCTCTTGTTACTTGGAAGAGGAAGAAGAAAAGACAAGTATGCCCAACACTGTAAAGGATGATCTATACGTGCGAAAGCTAAGTCCAATCATGCCAAACCCAGGGAATGCTTTTGATCAGTTTCTTCCCAAATGTTGGATCCCAGAAGACGTGAACTGGAAAAGAATAAAAAGGGAAACTTACAAACCATGGTATAAAGAATTTCAGGGATTCAGGTTTGTCTCTGTGCATGTTTCTGTTGTCCTAGTGTTCATTCGGCACTCTGGCTAGGTGCATTCCGTGTATGCTTCTTATGAGAGAGAAAGAGAAATTTTCTCTTCAATACCTATAGAACCTCTATAACTGCAAAAAATAATGCTGCTTAAATTTAAACCTTAGGATCTGGATCTTAGGAAGCCTTCTGCATGACAGGATTTTCAGTGGTTGTAGTTTTCTCCAACTTTCTCCTTCCCTCCCTCCTTTCTCTGCATTGCTCTACAGTAGGAGGACTTCAGATTCAGAGGATGAGGATTTGGGCTCTGACAGAAGCTCCTCCATTTTTAGTAGAATCCAAAAAGCAAAGCATAGGCTAGACAGCAACTGCCAAAGACCTTCACTCCTGCTGGAATTGGCTCCCAAAGGGGCCAGGAACTCCCGGGACACGCAAGCAGCCAGGAGAAGCCGCGGTGCCGCGGATGAGCCCAGGTGTACCTGTGTGCATGAGCCTGCCCGCTTTGAGTCTGGCCGGGGACACTCGGGCCAGCGGCTGCTGCTCTGTTAATCTCTGACCATGATGCGCTGGATCTTGAAACCTTGTTCATAATATTTAGCGCAAAAGCTTCTACTGTATAACGTATTGCTTTCTGTGGGAGCAGATAAGCTTGGAAGTCTATAAAATTAAATATTTGTCAGTGCAGTGATGTACAAGATAGTACACAGTTACATGGGGGCAGAGTCAGGTCTTTGGGAAAACTATTTCTAAAAAGCTTTTGCAAAAGTTGACCTTAATTTAGGGTTGTGTTCTGTGCGGAGATGTGGAGAAAGGAAATAACTTTTATTTATTTATTTTTTAAGATTTTATTTGTTTATTTGACAGAGAAAGACACAGTGAGAGAGGGAACACAAGCAGGGGGAGTGGGAGAGGGAGAAGCAGGCTCCCCGTCGAGCAGGGAGCCCGATGCGGGGCTCGATCCCAGGACCCTGGGAGACCTGAGCCGAAGGCAGGCGCTTAACGACTGAGCCACTCAGGTGCCCAGGAAATAACTTTTAGATAAACACCAGGGCATGCAAGTCCGGTGGGAAAAGGCAAAGAAAAGATTCATCAGGGTCTTTTTGAAAGCTTCACAGCATTTTATTTTATTTTTTTAAATTCTGCTGACTACCTGATTGCATAAAGTGCTTGATGACCAACTCTCCAATCTCTGCAAGATCATTGCTGCTTCTCTGGGATGGGGACTACATCACCGTGGCTAACAGAATAAGGAAAGGGTGAAAGCAAGTGTGTGTACGACAGGGAGGGAGGTGTGCTCTGTCTACGTTCTAGCCTCATCAGCATCAGTTGGCCTGGATGGTGCCCACCTTTCTTGAGAAGTACATTCTGCCTTTGCTTCTTTAAATGGTATCCAAGAAGGTCACGGGTGATGACATTAAAGGCTAGGCTTTCTTCCAAGCAAGAATCTCTCCCATGGTTCCCTAAAATAATTCACCCATGGTAACGGGCTAGTTGATCTGCTGCCTAATTACCTTTTCTACCTAAACTTAATAAGATTCTCCCTTCCTTTTTCTTTTCTGTGCTTCAGTCAGTTTTTATTACTTCAGGCACTCCAAACATACTCTGATGACATCTTGTCTTCTGAAACAAATATCAAAATTGATCCCACTGCCGGCCCAAGGCTCATAACACGCAGAAAGAATGTCTCTTCTGCACCAGGGTGTAAAAGAGATGACCTTGAGATGTCAACCCTAGATCCTGACTTAGAAAATGATGATTTCTTTGTCAGAAAGACTGGGGCTTTCCATGCAAATCCATATGTTCTCCGGGCTTTCGAAGACTTTAGAAGGTTTTCTGAGCAAGATGATCCTGTAGAGCGAGATATAATTCTGCAGTGTAGAGAAGGTGAACTTGTACTTCCAGATCTAGAAAAAGATGATATGATTGTTCGCCGAATTCCAGCGCCGAAGAAAGAGGTGCCTCTCTCAGGGGCCCCGGATAGATACCAACCAGTCCCTTTCCCTGAACCCTGGACTCTTCCTCCAGAAATTCAAGCAAAATTTCTCTGTGTACTTGAAAGGACACGCCCACCCAAAGAAAAAAGAAAAAGCTGTAGAGTATTAGTGCCTTCCTACAGGCAGAAGAAAGATGACATGTTGACTCGCAAGATCCAGTCTTGGCAGCTGGGGACGACTGTGCCTCCTGTCAGTTTCACCCCTGGTCCCTGCAGTGAGGCGGACCTCCGGAAGTGGGAGGCCATCCGGGAGGCCAGCAGACTTAGGCACAAGAAACGGCTGATGGTCGAGAGGTCAGAGTGTGTTTCTGCAAGGATTTTGCTTGTCATGGATGGTCTTGTATAACTTTTCTTGTGTGAGAAAGTGGCATTGTATCGCCCAACTCTGCATGTCACGAGCCATTTTGAAGCATCCTGTAAAAATGTATATTGTTGTGAGAAGCCTGTTGTGATTTCTTGGAAAAAAGTGCAATTCCATATTTGCATGTCTCTAAACTATTTGAGGCCTGTTTAAAAAGGTGTAGACACAAACCTTGCCTTTGGCCTCAAGGAAGACTATGGTACTATCTGCAACATGACGTTTCATGAAAATGTTTTCCAGTTACGTTTATAGACTGTATATTCTCATGTCCAGGCTTTTCTGAACCAGTCTGGTTGTAGTTTGGTTTTCTGTGTTTCCCATATTTTGGAGTATAGGATTTATGTGTAAACATTTCCCTTAAAATATGGCATTGCAAATTTCATTTAACTTAATTATGATTTTTGTTTTTGACCTAGGTTTTCCTGGACTATCAATATGTGACTTTTTAAATTTATAGTTTAAAATTCAGTGCAAACTTTATTAAAATGCATGAATGTTATTTGCTGTCAGCTAAATTTTACTTGTATGTAATTATGGCCATTTTGATAATAATGGGTCTGCATTTATGTGTTATGCAACTTGCCATTTTGATATTCAGCTTGTTAAACTTTGGGATGGACAAATACAAGGCTGATTGAAATCAGTAGATCCAAATCTAACTTTTATACCCGGCAACAGGAAGCTTTTTGTTATGGATTTGTTGGTTCAAGGTAAATTAGGAAACTCTTTATCTCACTTAATTTGATTCCTTGAGATATGAGATCAATTAGAAATTGAGACATTATCAAGAATGTGATAAAACCTTTTGAGATTTGTCCATCTCTAGTTAGAATCTTAAAGATATTGAACATTTAGAAAGTAACACAACTGAAAAGTGACTTTTAATTTTTGGTTTTCTGATTTCTTAGACTCTTTCAAAAGATTTATGGTGAGAATGGGTAAGTTTTTTAGTTCACAGTGGAGAAAAATCTCTGCATATTGTTTGTCCTTTGTGTAATATGTCACTGCACTTCTATCCTGGCATGTCACTAAATGGGGATGCTGTGTGCTGTGCATGTAATTTTTAAAAATGGGAAATTTTTTCTTAATTTTGCAACCTAATGGTAATATTTCTGTTTCCGAGTGTGCAGTGCATGAAGTGCTATATGACTGCAGTAGATTTTGTTTTTATTAGAAGTTTAAAATTCGGGTCTTTTTTTTTCCCCCTTTTCTTTTTTTCTTTTTTTTAACTTAAGGAGTTGATTAAAAGTAACACAATTACTTGCCTAAGATTAGGTATATTTAATTTAGTATTTGATTGCTACATAGACTAACATTTTCACTTCTGGATGTTGAAGCCCAAATAAAGTTATTTTAGAAAATTTTAGAAAATCTATGATGGAAAAGGAATACTAACATTCACTTTGAAGTTGGAATTCATACAGTTGGTATTATCTATTTACTCCTAGTTTATGGGGAGCTTGCTTTATTTATTTATTTATTTTAAAGATTTTTATTTATTTATTTGACAGAGAGAGAGAAAGAGACAGCGAGAGCAGGAACACAAGCAGGGGGAGTGGGAGAAGGAGAAGCAGGCTTCCCGCTGAGCAAGGAGCCCGATGCGGGGCTCGATCCCAGGACCCTGAGATCATGACCTGAACCAAAGGCAGACGCTCCACCGACTGAGCCACCCAGGCGTCCCTATGGGGAGCTTTTATTAGTTGGGATGAGGGATGACATTAGTCTTCCCTTAGTAGAATTTGGAAACATTTTCATGATTCCTGATTAGGGTAAAAAGTTATAGTATGGCTATGTCACAAAGCCAAAATCAGCTTCCCCAAACTGCAAAAATTAAAATCTTTTAAAATTTTCTGGAAATGTTTCCCATTTCTAGAGTAATGGAGAGTTAAAAGCAAATGCTACCATACTTTTACTTTTTACTGCACACTATAGAATCATTCATTCTTAGTGCAGAATAACCAGGTGGCTACATCTTAGTATTTACCATCAGACTTTCTATGACTTTGTGAATCTAACTTCTAATAGTTTTTGAACAAGAAGAAAATTTAAGTATGTCAAATATTTTAATCTGCCTAAGCCTTAGTAACTACGGATCTTCCCCCACTGGGATTTATGTCATCTCTAAGAATTTTTAGTTGTGATAGCATTGGATAATTTTTAAAGTGTAGAAACCTTGGAACTTACTAAAATTATTATTTGAAGCAATATAACCATTCTGGGTGTCAAAATGGTAACTGAGTCAAGGGCAACTAATTGCAGGTACTTTTCAGCCACTGATTTAAAAAATCAGACTACCAGCATGCTTTCAGTGTGCTGTGCAAAGACACATTATTCCCTATCCAGCTCCTCAAGGGCTTAAAGCTTTCTCATTTGTGAGGGTGAATGAGGCACTTGTCAGCATGACGCTTAAGCATCTGCTCATCTCAGTTCATCACGGGAAAGCTAATTTAATGGATGAAAAATCTCTGCTGCTTTGAGCATTTTGAATGAAAACTTTCAGAATTTTCATCACTAATAAGGCTTGATAATAGAAGCAGTTTGTTTTTCGTAAAGAGGATACAAGTACATGGAGTACAGGTACTGGATGAGAATGTGAACACATACAGCTATTTCAGTGACTCCCTGTGTTTCTCTGTAGGGATGCCCTGTATGACTGGGCTAAGAAGAGAGAAGAGAAACCCAAATGCCAAGTTCAGAAAGCGAGGGATTTTTCTGGCTCTCGCTAGCAGCAGCAAATACCTTCTGTAGACTATTTCCAGACTGTTGCTTGCGTGGTACGCTGTTTGTTTTAAAGTTTGTCCCCCTTGCAGTGTAGTGCCAAGGTAACACAAATAAAGCAAGGTTATCTGTAAAATGAGACTGATGAATAATGCATGACTTGTCAGATAAAGGAAAGTAAAGCAAATATGTCTTCAGAAAACTAAAGTGTGTTTCATACCACTTGTCATCAAAACCTTTTATATGGGATTTTTTTTCTGTGTTCTATCAGTTACCAATGGTTTTCTTAAACTGCTTTGCTGCAATGAAAAAAAAATTGGATTGAGTATAGGCATTTCATCTAGAACTTATTTCCTGTTTCTAGACATGTTCATATGACAGGAAACAAGTGATATTTCTTAATGATATTTCTTGGACATAATGTCCATTTTTAAACTTAGAATACTTACCTGGAAAATCTTTATTGCTAACATCCTGTGATTGAAAAATGACTGCCTATAACATGAATGCTTTCCTTTTGGTTAAGGACCAGGTGAAAGAGAAATGCACATTACCTCTTTTAAAGACTTAGCCATTTCATTTTGGGCTTGCTTTTTGTTGGCATTTAACATCTGTCACTCTGTTTATTTTTAATATGCTTTCTATGTGGCATTTTGTCACGCGTGCTTTTGTGTTGCATGGATTTGTCTGTATGGTTCCATGACATTTGAAAATATGGTTATGATGCTTCTCGGCAGAAGCTGTGAATGGCAAAGTTGTTGTAAGGGTATGTAGATATAATTTGTAATAGGACTAAGCCATTTAGTCTACTGCCAGGATAAACAGGAAATGAAAACTGATTGAAGGTGAAATTTTAATCAAAGACAACTAAGAGATGTACATTTCATGTATGGGTTATGGCCAAAAGATTCTGTAGAACTGTAAGGACACCTAAGACAACAAAGAGGAAGGGCAAATAAAGTGGATGTGAGTGTCTGGGGATTTTGTCCCTAGGGAACATTCAGCAATGTCCGTAGGCATTTCTGATTATTACACTGGATGGGTTGGGGATGGGGGTTTTCTACTAGCCATCTGGTGCTTTTATATCCTGGGATGCTGCTAAATTGTCCTGCGAGACACAGGACAGCCTCCTACAATAAATAAATAATTTTATAACCCCAAAATATCAATAGTGCTGCTATAGGGAAAACCCAATTTAGACTGTAAACCTATAAATGAAGAGTTTCTTATTTTACATTATCATCCTAGTTTGTAGTCACTCTAAAGCCTATTATCCAGGTTTTAGTACTGATTGTGCTTCAGAGAATTCCTACAGCACCTAACAGAAATATACTCAAAAGTGCATAAATGAGTATATCCCTATCTTCCTTTGAAAGTTCGGGACTCCGGGAACCCCAGAATTAGTATCATGGAATTTCTACCTGCTGTTTAAGGCAATCAGTGTTTCTGTATTTAGGGCATTTTCTACATGTTGGTCCTTTCTGATCCCTTACTTCTTAGATATTACTTCTTAGACTGTCTCTAGTCTGTGATGTAGACAGGTAGGTATTTAGATGCATTATAGATACATGAAGAAAGAGACACAGATATTGCAGCATTCCCAAGGACATACAGCTAGTGAGTGGTAGAACCGGACGAGCACATCTTTTAATGAGCTAATCCAGGTAGACCAGTTGGCAGTGTGGCTGGCACACAGTAAGCCCTCAGGAGTTTAATGTTATGCTGGTAATTCTGATAAGGAAGGAAAGAATTCTTCATGATCTGGCTGAAAGACTTCTGTACTCAGAAAGTTCTAGATTTTATCAATGTGGCCTAGGGTGACCTCGCTAATCTGAAGCTGTTTTGGGAGTTCGTTTTCAAGAAATTCCATGCAGTCATGTTTTCCTTCATAAGAATAGTTGGTGTAAAGCACCGATAGTTATTAAAATGCAATCGGTATAACCTTCCGCCTTTTCTTATAACAACACTTTCCTTGCTTAGAAGATGAGGACCTGAGGCACAGAGAAGCTAAGTGATGTTAGGTTGGGGTGCAAATCGGTGGCATGGCCACCCCAGTGCTCAGTTCAGCTTGCATGGAATGTGCTCAGGCTTTCTCTAGGTAACTGTACACCCTCAGGAACATAGGGAACTCCCATTCCTGCCTGAAACAGGGATTAGTCTGCTCTGGACAGTGTTGGGCTCCCTTGGTTCACAGGTAGGAGGTTCACTCCTGCTGGGTGCCAGGCTCTGTGCTCTTTTTTAGGGAGTCTGTTAAAGTCTGAGCACAAAAAAAGTCTTATTCTTTGAAGTTATAGCTTAATTTATATCTTCAAATTCACATAAATCAGGTTCATATATAGTCATACCTAGTTAGGTATATATTTTTAATGATCCAGTGTATAATTTGATATATATTCCATGTGTAATTCCTTAATACTCTTTAATAAATCTTACAGAGCTTGCCTTATAAAACTTTGGGGAGGGATCCTGATTTATTATACACCCACAAAAAGAGACATTTCAAATTTATTTTGCTTGATTAAGTATGATAAAACATACCTCATTCTTGCCACAGGTGTTAAATGCATGTATCCTGTATGCTTTGTTATGTGTTAATGTGTTTTTCTCCAAACAACATGTGGACTTGTGAGGGAGATAAACTAAGCATGCACACACACACACACACACACACACACAGGAGAAAGGTATAACTAAAGCAGTAGAGGAGTGGAGAGAAAGGCCAGACCACTTTTGGTGTGGAAGAGGTAGGAATTATTATCAAAGTGGTAGAATATTCTCTAGATCAACACATTTATTAGCACCTACCATGGGCTGGGCACTCTTCTAGGCATAGGTGATATAGGAGCAGACAGAAAAAAATCCCTGCTTTGTAATCTTGCAGGATGAGGCAGGTGAGGTGTACATAAACATTTCAAATGGCAATAAATGCTATGGGGAGAAATGCTATGGGGAGAAAGGTGAGGGATAATGTGGCCAAGGGAGAGGTGCATTTACTCTTTTGTGTAGGGTGGTCAGGGTGGGAAACACTGAGGTAATGTTCAAGGAGATGACTGGAAGTGAGAGATAAGCCATATGGTTGGTTGAAGAGCCAGTAGAAGAGCAGGAGGTTGGGCACAAGCAAGGGAACCAGTTGGCTGGAGCAGTGTGAGTGAAGGGGGCACCACGATGGGAGATGAATGGAGAGAGGTGAGCAGGATCCAGGTAATATCCTAGGTCTTGGAAGAACCTGCTTTTAATTCATGTGAAATGGAAAGAAACTGATGGGTGCAGTGTGCAGGGATGTTACTATCTGAGTGTAGTTTTGAGAAGATCTCTCTGACTGTGGTATTGAGCATGCACTGTTGGGTAAGAAGGGGTAGAAGCAGGAAGACTGATTATTGTAATAATCCAGGTGGGAGATATGATGGCTTGGATCAGGGTGGTAATGGTGGAGGTGGTGAGAAGTGGTTGTGTCCTAGTTATAATTAGACAGTAGACTGGCAGGATTTACTGATGAGACCAGTTATGATGTATAAGAAAAAAAGAGGCATCTGGGATGACTCCCAAGATTTTTGGCCTGTAATCTGAAGGATGGAGTTGAATTTCACTGATGAGTACATTGTGGGTGAGTAATCATGTTTTTGGTCTATGACAAGTCAAGTTTGAGTAGTCTGTTAGACTTTGAAGTGGAGAATGAATAGAAAGTTACACACACCCATCCAGTGTTTAGTGTATCAGGGATCCTGAGGAATGAGTGGCATTTAAAAAGGCATATATACTGACGAAGGGCTTTCTTATTGGAACAGTTGAAGACAGACTTACTGGATCTGGAGGCTGGGTGATAATTTAAGCTACTTTAAAAGTCTAGGTAAGAGTTGGCTGTGTTCTGATCTAGGGTGTTGGCAAAAGAAGTGGAAAGAAAAAGACACTGAATAAGAGGACTTGATAACTAATTGAAAGTAGGGAGAAGGGAGAGGCAAAGGTGAAAAATGGTTCTTAGGTTTCAAATGTGGATGATTGGAAGCAGGTTACACCATTAACAGCCACAAGCAGAAAAGCAGGTTTGGGGACAGATTGAGTTTGGCTACATCAACAATAACCATGTGTTTAGTGAGTTATAGTTTACAGAATCCTTCCTAGATATTATTTCAATTGGTCCTTTTACAATTGAGGTGCTTAGGGGATATCCATGCAGATATTTATTCAACAAGTAATTGGAATTGAGTCAAGGGAGGGCCTGACCCCGGGGCTGTGTGGATTGGGAGTCATTTGCATAGAGACTAATTGAATTCCTGAACTAGCTAAGGGCAAGCATGTTATAAAAGAAATGTGGTGATAGCAAACTCTCGGGGAGGGCGAAGTTTAAAGGCCCAAGAAGGAGATGTAGAGTTACTTAAATAACTTACTTAAATAAAATTAGAGTCCGTTAAAATGAAATAAAATCCAAAGTGCATTATGAAACTTCTATAGGAAGGCACATTTTGGGTACCCCACCTTCAAAAGCTCTTTTTCATTCCTACGCTCTCCAGTATTCATACTGGACTACCCCATTCTCACTACCCTGTTCTCCAGTGCAATTGACCATCCCTTCTATGTGAGGTGTTAGACCCCCATGTCTAACACCTCACTCTGCTCATTGGTTCTACTTTAGATTGAGCTCTCTGAGAGCTAATCCTCAGTACATAGTCATAACAGGGTCACACATTGGGAGACATGCAATCTGCCTTAATATAAAACAGAGGACTGTAAAGGTCATTCCATTATAACTGGCTGCTAGAAACTACCTATGGTGCTTTGAGAATAAGTCTAGTGCAGTGGTGGGGTAGATTTTAGAGAATCCTTGAGAAGAAGTAACAAGTTTATTTATGGTAATGAACTTGAGGAGAAAATATCAGGTAATCATTAAATTATTTAATAAGTGCCCAAAAAAGGCAGCCAAACCTTAAAAGATTATCTTTGGGGGAGATAGAAAAATATAGACGATTCTAGTAAATATTTCTTTCTAAAGTTATCCTTTTATGCATGGACCACTCCAAATATGAACATTGGATTATTTTTTCAGACTCATGCAGGGTTCACTTAACCATTTTGTGAAAGAATTCACACTTGAGTTGAGTGCTAGGCTCTTGTTTCTGCGTTTTGGAAAAACACCATTTATCTCTGTAGTGTTATTTCTGTGATAATATCACTGAAACGTCTAGGTAGTACTGCAGAAATTTAGATGGAATTTCCAAACAAACAACCTTCCAGTTTAACCCTAAATCCGGTCATGTGACCCTTTGTTACCATGGGTATTTTGGTTGTAGGAGTAAGTCCATGAGTGATGTCAGCGCAGAGGATATTCAGAACTTGCGTCAGCTGCGTTACGAGGAGATGCAGAAAATAAAATCACAACTAAAAGAACAAGACCAGAAATGGCAAGATGTGAGTACTTTTTATATTGGGAGAAGGGAAGACTGGGAGAGTATTCTTATTTGACTCTTCCTTGTTTCTCTTAAAAGATCAGGATACTTGAGATGATTTTCCTTGCTACAGAATTCAGTCCTCAGAAAATGCGATCAGCTTCCTTTGAAAAGACTCGTACACCTTTTTGGCCTATCACTGTTGCCTATTTTAAAGGCCTCTGTGAAAAATATAATAGGATATTTATTTTCTAATATTCTCTGAGTTCTCAAAAATGTGAATCTGCTTCCTTACAGCATGGTTAATTTGTTCCCTTGCTTTGGTCGGTTGAATTTGGGGTATGACTATTATTGAAGCTTGTGAAGGGAAAAGACTTAGCTCAAAGTTTAGAGGAGCAGGGTTCCTGAACAGTCTTGGCATTAGCAGGAAGAGATGAAGGGGGTTCTCAGAGTTAATAGAGATTTGGGGAGAAATAAGAAATATAACTAGGCGTAATATTTTGGCTGGAAAAGTCATTGTCTGATACAAATCAAAATGAGATGTTTTCATAGAGCTGACTTATATTCAGATGTTTATATGGACACAGACTTACTATTTAGCTTTGTCCCTGCAGGAAAAAAAGCTTGACCTTTTTTGAAAGGGGTAATTGTTACAAACCAAAAGAGTGTCTAGGAATACAATAGATAAATTATACAGAGCGAACCCAAAGGATTTTGAGGATAACTTTATGGGAAGAGTAGAGTGTTAGAATGAACAAAAGGGCCAGGGATAGTAAATCTTCATTTTCAAAGAGATTAAAGCCTATGAGATGAAGAAGAACCTTCTGCCTTGGCTGCATTTCTCAATTCCAGTGTCTCTTTTGGTTGGGAACTCGATTTAATGATCAAGAAACAGTAATTCAGTGTCACTTTGCCCAGATACATGGGGACAGTTTGGGTGTGAAAAGAAGTATTGAGGGGTTATCTGTTAATGCAGATGAGAATTCACGCTGATTACCCTGTAGGACTAAATGCGCACTGCTTTTATTCTTTTTGGAAGTGGTTCGTACTGGCTTCAGGCTGTTTTTAAACAGGAATGGCCCTGTCAACTCTTAAGGGTATAAACCAAACTAGTTTAGTCTGAGATCTTGGATGTGCTTCTCTTTGGACTGGAATGCCACTGGCAGTTCTTAGCATGGCATTTCTCTATTTTGGAGACCTAGAAAAGTCTGTGCCATCCAGAATGTCTTAAACCCTTGAGTGTCGCAACCAGCTTAGGCTGCTAGGGCTAATTTAGGTCACCCAGCTTCTGTTCCTGGGAATATGGGAAACAGGTCCACTTTTCCTATGGCATCTTCCTTATTGCCCTGTTGTTGGGTAGAGTTTACCTGCTTTAAAATCATATCCTCAAGCCTGACCTCCCCAGGAAAGCCTTTTCAAACTCTGCCCTCCCCTGCCTGAGGTAGAATTGATCACTGTCTCTGTTTCGGACCCCCGCCATCCTGTGCTGTCCAGTCACACTCATTGTTGAACTTTTATTTACAAGTCCCTTTCCCTTCCAGACCAAGGGTTCCTTGAGGGAACCCACATCTTGCCCATCTGCACGTTTGTGGTCCTCTGCCTCAAAGCAGGGATCCAGCTCGGCGTATGTTAAATTAAAGACAGAGAGGGCACTTACGCCTCACCATTCCAATCCTGTCTCTGTTCCAGTTGTACTAGTGAAATATGATATTTCACACAACAGCCAGATTATTGGAGTAAGATGAAAATGAATTTGAAACAGTTCCTGATCTTTCTGACCTGGCACCCAATTACAGGCATTTAGCAGGCTTTGTGAAATGGGCAGGGAGGCAGGAAAACAGTAATGGGGTCTATCTTATTAGGTCAGGTTTTTTAGACAGACACATGAGATAAAGGTTGGTACAGAAACATCAGCTATAAAAAGCAAAATTAGGCCACCCTGGCATCAAGTTGGAGTGAATAGTTTCAGCGATGTAATGGGATACCCTGGCATGCTCTCATTGCTAGAGAGGGTGTGTAGAAATTCAGGTATGCCTGTGCTGATGTGATTTTCTTCTGTCAGGATCTTGCAAAATGGAAAGATCGTCGAAAAAGCTACACTTCAGATCTGCAGAAGAAAAAGGAAGAGAGGGAAGAAATTGAAAAGCAGGCACTTGAGAAATCTGAGAGAAGCTCTAAGACATTTAAGGAAATGCTACAGGACAGGTAATAAAGCTGAGTGCATCTCACGGTTGGAGTTTCCAGTGTTAGAAATCCATATTTTATGTAAGGGTTGGATACCAATATTAAACCGTAAGCAAATAGATGTGAAACAGTCAGGATTTTGCTCTGCAATGAGAAAGTAAAGTATTGCTGTAATAAAGAGTGACTTGGATTAACAAAAGAAATGGGTGCTTAATATAGGTGGGCATTCTTTCTTGATTTTTACATTGTATATTCAAGTGCAGTACTGGGTGGTGTTGGCCATCTTTGGTGCAGAAAATAAACTACCTTTTCTACTTTTAAAATGAATTTAGGAATAGAATGGCCAAATAAAACCAGCTCCCACTCATCTAAATTGTGTAAAATATCAAGTTCCTTTTCATGTTTTAGTGGTGCGATTAAAATTCTATTTTAAAGGAAGACAATATAAGCATAAATGTAAGGGGTTTATTTTTGGCATTGTAACAGAACAGGATAAAGGTCCAATTTAAAAGTTCCTGTAGAGCAGTTACTGTGAGAAACCTTGGAATATTTATAGGTCAGGGGGAAGGCAAATATGCTTTAAGGATAATGTCAAAAAGGAAATGTGCTGTCAGGTGAAGTTAAACAAAGCTCCTTTGTGCCATAGAAGCAAATGGTAAACACAGTTTCATTCACTTAAGAGGGATTCCCTACTAAATGGTAGTGATGAGGATGTGTGATGAACTTTTCTATAAATATGAATGGTGTCTTTAATCTGTAGTAATTGTCCATGCAAGTTCTATCAAGCTATATGAAATCATATACTAACTTGACCTTAACTGAAGTCTGAGTCTTTTGTGGTATTTTGTTTTTACTAAATTATTTTAAATTGCATACAGGAAAAAATACTCACAACCCTGTAAAGGAATCCACATCTTTGAAAGATTCAAATTGGTTGTCAGACAATCAGTTATATTTTAAGTGCGCTAATTTTGGAAGATTGATAAACTTGTAGGTAAAACTTCGTGAATGTTCCCTTAGTAAAATATCCTCATTTTCTTTCTTCTTTTTTTTTTTTTAATGTTTTATTTATTTGATAGAGACACAGCGAGAGAGGGAACACAGGCAGGGGAGTGGGAGAGGGAGAAATAGGCTTACCGCC